AAGACTTGAAGGGCACATATTTCAGATCATGAAGAAAATGCACAAAGTAAAAATATTCATAAATTTTTCCTTGAGTTGTTTGCAATTGAAGATTTGCACAGAGTAGGATAAAACTTCAAGAAAAGCAACAGGAAGGAGCAGCTGCTGAGATGAAAGAGCTGAACTACACGGGGACTCCAAGTACCGTACAGTTATGGGGAAAGAAATAGTTGGAGTTCAAGTCCCATTGAGGTGGGGCAGTTCTTTTCATGGTTGAGACTCTACTACTATATCCACGTAGTAAGGGCCAAACTGACATAGAGCAGCTTTAACAAACTCTCAAGGCAAATCTTACCCACATGAAGTCCTTGTACTCTGTCAACCATCCAGTACATCCAGAGGGCATATGTGTGCAATTATGATAAAGAGAGCATCATCCAAATCCTCCTAGTATGTGCATTTTGTCTTGGACAAAAACAAAAGTAGAAATCATGCAAGAAATTAAATCTAACTGAGAGAGATATATAGAGAGAGGGAGAAGAGAAGCAGACACAAAGATCATTTATAATGAACATGGATAAGCACTCTAAAATTATTAAAATTAATATAGTTAATATAAAAGATGGATAAAAACTAGAGTATCTTCTAAGCCATAACAAATAATCAATTGTAAATTCTACAACAGCAAAAATATAATTTTGATTCTAATAATTCAATAAAAAGGTATAAGAGGAGTAGCAGTACTGTTTAGCTGGATATTATAACAGGATGATGTAATCAAATTAATGCTTACAGAGAAAAAGCATGAAAATACAGAAAAGAGAATAACACTTGTGACACACTTCTAATAGTAGTCCAGAAAGAGAAAAAGATGAAACATTTCAGAAGCAACATTTTTGGAAATATTGGCCAATAATTTTCTAAACTGGAAAAATGGTGAAATAAAGCATAAAGAACAAATGAAGATCTTGTCACCATGAACTTCTATTCTGGTACTACTCTTTACCCTACTCATGTGACTTGCAGTGGTATTGTGGAAGATAAAGTGAGCTTCTTACATCCTTCAATTTGAACTCGGTCATGCAACTTGCTTAGGACAATGAGATGGGAACATCTAAGACACAGACTTGAAATATAATTTCTCAGCCT